GCTAAAGAGAGAGTGACTCCCTTGAGCTAAAAAGCCTCCAAACTTGAAGGAAGATCCTTCTTTCTGAGGCAAATTCACTTGGTTTTTTGCTCTGTGTCTTGGGTGTACATGAAGAAGATGACCTCCTTGACCTTGGCACCACTCAGGATAAGCATCACTGGGTGATCCCCGTGTGAATCTGAGCTTGGCTTATTTTATATTTTAAGTTGTACTGGTGGGTCCTTTCTTACGTATTTGTGATGAAGTCCTGAATGTCTAACTTGTTTCTAAATTGCTGAATGCCACACTTTCCTGACCGTTGTAGTTTTCTCTGCAATGCACCGGAAATATCTGTAGGTTTGGCAAACTCTCCCCCGCCCCCTTCTCCACATTTATTTCAAAAGCGTACATTCAGCATTTGTGAGCTGTTAATGGTCTCCTTCTTAGCTCCCTTAAACACACTTGAATTCATGTTTTTTAAGAAGTGAAAACAGTTTTGTTTTCAATCAGCTGATTTAGAAGGACCATATCTATCTTTAACCTTTGTCAGATAGCCCTGAAAATCTCAACTTTTTCCCCCAAAACTTTGATAATGCTGTTTTTATAAATGCATGCCAAGTGTGTGAATCAGATTCTTTTAATCTGAACTTATTTTTCAAATATAGCAATGAGAGGGTTGGGGGTGGAGGAAACATCGCCAGAAACTGAAGTGCTGGAAAATAGAGTCAGGTACATTATTTGGAATGATCAGAATAAAAATTCTTCCATTTCTTTAACCTTCTACAAGTGTGGTTTGCAACATCTACTGTTATTCTAGGCCCTGGTGATACAGCAGTGAACAAAACACACAAAATCTTTGCCCTGGGGAAGCTTAAGCTCTGGTGGAAGGAGACAGATCATAAACAAAATTAAGGGAAATAAAACAGAGATGGAGTATAGGGAGTGTTTGCTTGTGAGTTTACAAAAAGGTGACCTTTAAAGGGCACCTGGGTGGTTCAGTCGGTTGAGTGTCTGACTCTTGATTTTGGCTCAGGTCATGATCTTGTGGTTGGTGAGTTTGAGCCCTGCATCAGGCTCTCGCTGATGGTGTGGAGCCTGCTTGGGATTCTCTCTCTGCCCCTCCCTGGCTCACGTTTTCTCTCTCTCTCCCTCTCTTGAAATAAATAAACTTAAAAGTGGCTTTTGAGCAGTCTTGGAGGGGGACTGATGGGCTACGCTGTGACCTGGGGGAAGAGAGTCCCAGGCACGGGAAACAAACAGCGAGTGCACAGGCTCACAGAGGAGCATCCCTGGAGTGAATGAAAAACAGCCAGGAGAAGCCTGCTGGAGCAGCAGGTGATGGGGTCAGAGAAATAAGGGGAGGCGGTACACCCTTTCAAGCCTTGCAGGATATTGTAGGTATTGTGGCTTTTACTGTGATGGCATGAGAAGCCAGATGGGGATTTCGAACAAAGGAGCAACAGGATCTGATGTAACAAGACCACTCTGGCTGCTGGGCTGAGAAGGGAAAGCGGCAGGTATGGAAGAAGAAAGAGCAGTTAGGAGGCCGTTGCTATTACCCGACCAGAAATTAATCAGGAACATCTGACTGGTTTACAAAAGGGAAGAAAATGTGCTTGCAGAATACAAAAAAAAAAAAAAAAAAAAAAAAAAAAAAAAAGGAAATAGTAATTATATTTTGGGTGCTTAAGTTGCAAGAAAAAGACCAATTTGGCAGTTACTTTGCTACAGTGCCTCCTCCAGACAAAGTGGTTTGGGAGTCCTGGGGAACTAGATCTTCGGGATTTTTTCTCCTCCAGGGACCCATGGACCTAGCAGGGTTTGGTCAGTGTGATTAAGAAGCAGCCTTTATGTGTGTCTTTCCCATTTCCCAAACTTTCCTGGGTGTCTGTTAGAAATGCAGATTCCTAGGTCCTACCCCTTTAGCAAGTATGGAATGGGGCCCAGGAAGATATATACTTTCAGCAAGAATATGAGAGAAATCTTTAAAAAAAAATTTTTTTTTAATGTTTATTTTTTTTTAATTTATTTTTTTTAAAAATTTTTTTTTTCAACGTTTATTTATTTTTGGGACAGAGAGAGACAGAGCATGAACGGGGGAGGGGCAGAGAGAGAGGGAGACACAGAATCGGAAACAGGCTCCAGGCTCTGAGCCATCAGCCCAGAGCCCGACGCGGGGCTTGAACTCACGGACCCTGAGATCGTGACCTGGCTGAAGTCGGACGCTTAACCGACTGCGCCACCCAGGCGCCCCTAATGTTTATTTTTGAAGGAGAGAGAGGGTGTGAGCGGCGGAGGGGCAGAGAAAGTGGGAGACACAGAATCCGAAATGGGCTTCAGGCTCTGAGCTGTCAGCACAGAGCCTAACGCGGGGCTTGAACTCATGAACTGTGAGATCATGACCTGGGCCGAAGTCAGACACTTAACTGACTGAGCCACCCAGGCACCCTTGAGAGAAATCTATTTTGATTATTGAGGTAAAATTGGTATAATAACATATACGTTTCAGGTGTACAGTCTTATAATTTGATATTTGTATATCAAAGTGATCACCACCATAAATCTAGTTACCATTCAGCACCATATACTTGAGATCTTTCCCTCATTTTACCCAACCCCTAACCCCTCCCACCTTTGATAACCATCAGTCTGTTCTCTGTATGAGTTTGTTTTTATTTATTTTGTTTTTTAGATTTCACATATAAGTGAAATCATACTGTATTTGTCTTTCCCTGTGATTTATTTCACTTAGTATAATACCCTCAATGTATGTTGTCGCAAATAGCAAGATTTCCTCTTTTTTTTTTTTTTTTTTTTTTTTTTTTTTTTAATGACCGAAGACTATTCTATTGTGTTTCCATATCTTGGCTATTGTAAATAACACTTTTGCAAATATAGGAATGCATATATCTTTTCAAATTAGTGTTTTTTGTGTTCTTTGGCTAAATACCCAGAAATGGAATAGTTGGGTATACAGTGGTTCTATTTTTGATTTTTTGAGGAATCTCCATATTGTTTTCCATGGTGTCTGCACCAAGTTGCCTTCCCACCAACAGTGTAGGAGGGTTCTTTCCTCCCACATCTTCTCCAATACTTGTTATTTCTTGTCTTTTTGGGAATAGCCGTTGTAACAGGTGTGAGCTGATATTTCATTGTGATTTTGATTTGTATTGCTCTGATAATTAGTGATGTTGAACATCTTTTCATGTGCCTGTTGGCCCTCTGTATGCCTTCTTTGGAAAAACGTCTATTCAGATTCTCTTGCCCATTTTTTAATTGGGTTGTCTGGCTTTTTGTTGTTGTTACTGAATAGTGTGAGTTCTTTGTATATTTTGGATATGTGGATATTAAAGCCTAATCAGATAAGTGCTTTGCAGGGGCCCCAGGTGGCTCAGGTGGTTAAGTGTCAGACTTGATTTCAGCTCAGGTCTTGATCTTAGGGTCATGAGTTCAAGCCCTGCCTTGGGCTCCATGTTGGGAGTGGAGTCTACTTAAAAAAAAAAAAAAAAAAAAGAAAAGAAAAACAAAAAAAGGTAAGTGATTTGCAAATATCCTCTTTTACTGAATAGGTTGCCTTTTTGTTTTGTTGGTTTCCTTCACACTGCTGAAGCTTTTTAGTTTGTTGTAGTCCCATTTGTTTATTTTTGCTTTTGTTTACCTTGCCTTTGGGGTCAGATCCAAAATTAAAAACAAATCACTAAGACCAATGTCAAAGAGCTTGTCACCTTTTCTTCTCGGAATTTCATCCAAGTCTTTAATCCATTTTGAGTTAATTTTTGTGTATGGTGTAAGATGGTGGCTTAGTTTCATTCGTTTGTATGTAGCTGCCCAGTTTTCCCAACACCATTCATTGAAGAGACTGTCCTTTCCACATTGTATAGTCTTGGTTCCTTTGTCCTAAATTAATTAACCATATATGTGTGGGTTGATTTCTGGGTTCTCTATTCCATTCCTTTGATCGATGTGCCTTTTTCACGCGATTACCTATTGTTTTGATTACTATAGCTTTGTGGCACAGGGAGGAGATTCTTACAACTCGGAAAGGTGGGGGAAACTGCTTCCCTATAACCTCCCCACCTCTGGCACAGCTTTTGGGGTTTGCAGACCTGGAAGCCTTGCAGGGTACCCATGTGGCCGGCAGGTGGTGCCACCTTACCACAAGCGGCAGAGTGAGAGCATTTCCCCCCTAGGGAGAAGTGAGGCTCCAGAAAAAGCGGGTCGATAGGTACTGGGGCCACCGAGCCACCGCTTATCCTGGGCCGAGCGGCGCGCACAAGTAGAGGAGAGTGGCGCGGCCGCTGTCCCGGCTTTTCAGGCAAATGGGCAGCTTAAGCCCTTCCTAGTCGGTTTTTCGCGCTCCGGGGGCAGCCCTCTCCGCACGAGCTTTGGGCACTGCGGGAGCTTGCAATGCAGGGCAGCGAAAACGGACCGCCTAGCGCCCCAGGATATTAGCCCAACACTGCCTACCCAGGTGCGGGCATCTACTACCGAGGCCCCTCAGGGAGTACCAGACCCACAGGCGGCCCCTTTTCATTGGCAGCCAGTCTGAGGGCCCCGCCCCCTTTCGTACAGTTCTCATCTGTGACTGGCTCTCGGGCTCTAGCTGGCCACACCTCCTCCCCTCGCACATACACAAGAGTCACGCGCCTTTCAGTTGGAAACTTGGCGTGCTGAGGGGGACGGTGGCCTTCACTGCCCCACCCACTTACCTTGTCATTGGTCCGCGGCTCCCCTCATGGCCACGCCCCCATTCCTGCCCCCTGGCTGGGAGGGCAGGCACCCGCTCGTGATTGGCTGCCCTGCCTGCCTCTCGCGGGAGCCGCTGGCGCTTCCCCCTCCCTTCTCCCCCTCCCTCGAGTGTCCAGGTTCCTCCGCTAGCCCAGGCCGAGTCAGTGTCAGTCAGGGAGCCGGACTGCCGAACGGTGTGTGCGGACGCTCCGCTGCAATCTCGCCCAGGGGCCGGTGCCTGCGCTCGCGCCGCCGGGTGGGAAGGATGAAGCCGCAGCTGGAGCAGCCACCCTATGATTGGCTGTGGCGCTTGTGAACCCGAAGTAAAGATGGCGGGCGGGCAGGCAGCCGCCGCACTGCCCACTTGGAAGATGGCGGCGCGCCGCAGCCTCAGCGCCCGCGGCCGGGGGGTCCTGCAGGCGGCGGCCGGGCGGCTGCTGCCGCTGCTACTGCTGAGCTGCTGCTGCGGCGCGGGCGGCTGCGCAGCAGCGGGCGAGAACGAGGAGACGGTGATCATCGGCTTGCGGCTGGAGGACACGAACGACGTGTCGTTCATGGAAGGGGGGGCGCTGCGAGTGAGCGAGCGGACCCGGGTCAAGCTGCGGGTGTACGGGCAGAACATCAACAACGAGACGTGGTCCCGCATCGCCTTCACCGAGCACGAGCGGCGGCGCCACAGCCCGGGCGAGCGCGGGCTGGGGGGTCCCGCGCCGCCAGAGCCGGACAGCGGCCCCCAGCGCTGCGGCATCCGCACCTCAGATATCATCATCTTGCCCCACATCATTCTCAACCGCCGTACATCGGGCATCATTGAGATCGAGATCAAACCGCTGCGCAAGATGGAGAAGAGCAAGTCCTATTACCTGTGCACATCGCTCTCCACGCCAGCCCTGGGCGCCGGCGGCCCGGGGTCCGCAAGTGGCGCCGTCGGGGCCAAGGGCGGCTCCGGGGTGGCCGGGCTCCCGCCGCCCCCGTGGGCCGAGACCACCTGGATTTATCACGACGGCGAGGACACCAAGATGATAGTGGGCGAGGAGAAGAAGTTTCTGCTGCCCTTCTGGCTGCAGGTGATCTTCATTTCGCTGCTCCTGTGCTTGTCGGGCATGTTCAGCGGCCTCAACCTGGGGCTGATGGCCCTGGACCCGATGGAGCTGCGCATCGTGCAGAACTGCGGCACCGAGAAGGAGAAGAATTACGCCAAGCGCATCGAGCCCGTGCGCAGGCAGGGCAACTACCTGCTGTGCTCACTGCTGCTGGGCAACGTGCTGGTCAACACCACGCTCACGATCCTGCTCGACGACATCGCCGGCTCCGGCCTCGTGGCGGTGGTGGTCTCCACCATCGGCATCGTCATCTTCGGGGAAATCGTGCCCCAGGCCATCTGCTCCCGGCACGGCCTGGCTGTAGGGGCCAACACCATCTTCCTCACCAAGTTTTTCATGATGATGACCTTCCCCGCTTCTTACCCGGTTAGCAAGCTGCTGGACTGCGTCCTGGGCCAGGAGATAGGTACTGTCTATAACCGGGAAAAACTGCTGGAGATGCTCCGGGTCACCGACCCCTACAACGACCTCGTTAAGGAGGAGCTGAACATCATCCAAGGGGCGCTGGAGCTCCGCACCAAGACAGTGGAGGACGTGATGACTCCGCTCCGGGACTGCTTCATGATCACCGGGGAAGCCATTCTGGACTTCAACACCATGTCGGAGATCATGGAGAGCGGCTACACTCGTATTCCAGTGTTTGAGGGGGAGCGCTCCAACATCGTGGACCTCCTCTTTGTCAAAGACTTGGCCTTCGTGGATCCAGATGACTGTACTCCCCTGAAAACCATCACTAAATTTTATAACCACCCCTTGCACTTTGTTTTCAATGACACCAAGTTGGACGCTATGCTGGAAGAATTTAAGAAAGGTGGGAAATTTTGGTATCTTTCATTGGCTTGCTCTTTCTCTCTCCATTCTCCTCCCTACTTGAGCCCTCTACCCTCAGACCAACCCCCCAAGGCGAGTTGACCGGAATTTCTCCTCTCTCTTAATTGCAAAGTTGAAAGGGTGGCATGGATTTGGGGATGGATTGAACTAGGAAGCGCTTCTAGGTTTTTTAAAAGCCCAAGACTACCGTCATTCTCTTGTTCACATTTCAAAACGCAGGCTTTCGATTTTCTGTGCATGATACTGCCGGCCCTCTGGGCTTGAGGGGTTTGCGGCATTCATCACCGGGGTTCTAAATGGGTAGATGCAAGTAAGGGCCAGCTAATGCCATGCTGTGCCATCTGGTTGACATGTACTTATCTCAGGCATTTGGAAAACATTTGAATAGCTTTTCTAAACTCAACACAGTCTTTTTCCTCCTCCTTGAACATTCACCGATGTTTCAGAGATTGGAAGTGCATTTTCAGTTTTTGTTCCCGGTTGTCGGGCCAGCTGTGGGGCAGATTGAGGTCTACCTTTGAGGATAGGGAATGGGGTCAGCCAGGTATCACCAAAAAGATTCAGTCATTTGGATGTAACTTACTTAGCTAGGAAAGAGGGTTTTTTTAAAAAGTAAAGTTAGTTACTAATATATAACTTGGAAAGACTAGAGGTAAGTTAAACTTTTATGAGGCTATCTTGCCTGGCTTTCTTCACTGTTTGTTTATATTCATCTGACGAATAAAACCACATGTGGTTTGGGCGGAAATCTTGAACCTTTAACAATGGGATGACTCCCTCTATTGTGATTTATTTATTTCTCCAGTTTTTCTGGTTTAAAAGTGTTCTTTTTAAACTTGATCTCTTGATATTTTAAGTTGAAGTGTTTCTTCCAAGTCGGTGTTTACTATTCTAGAGGGAGTTTTAACATGGAAGAGAAGCGCACAGTCTGATGTGCTCACCTTTCTTGCGTGATGGTATTTTTTGTTTGTTTGACCATTGTAATGAACCGGCAAATAGCACCTTATACTGTTACTACCGACATTCTGTCTTTAAAGAGAGTTTCCAGTAAATAACATGGTTTTTTGAAGACCAAGGGCTGCCGAACTGTTTCATTGCTATGGTGCTAGTGCAGGTATGAAAAAGTGTATGTAACCTTTAATGACCTGATAGTCCTCAAAACTAAGTTTTCCTTCTTTTGAGCCCTCATAGCGGTCTCTCCACTGAAAAAGGCCGTGTGTAGGTGGTGACAGCTCACTGGACGTGGTGATCTGAACATCCCCAGAGCGCGTGTGGTTGCCCTAATTCCATTTTCCTGGCTGAATGGTGTCCTCTCTGGAACGGGATCACATTGCAGTAATTTTCAGATAAAGGAATAGAGCAGAATGTGCCTCAGAGATGGGTAATTTGCATTTAAAAGCAGAGGGAGATTCTTCTGGATTCTTAAACAGTAAAAAGAAAATGTCCATTATCTCTAGGTGACAGAGCTTCTTTTCGGGGGTGTCATTATCCCTTCACTGCTGAGTTGTTAATTAGAGCATCTGACCAATCTCTTCTTTCATTTTGCAGTAACATCTCTAGTACAGAAAGATACCTTGCAGTGCTTGAAAATGCCTCTGAAATACTTAATTTTCTTCCTATGGCTAAATTTTGCAACATTGAGACTTAATAATTTATTCTATGGGTTTTTTTTTATTTGAAATTTTTGCACATCTGCTGATGGATTGAAACACCAGTGTGTCCTCCCTGCTGAAGCCTTTCTTCACTTCTGTATCCTTTTTTTTTTTTTTTCTTCTCCCTTGGAGGCTTTAGCGCTTCACCTTACAACTCATTGATCTTGCTCCTACCCCAAAATTTCAAAATTTGCATTATTTTGAAACCTGTTTTTGGTTGTCCTTGAGCAATATTCCTACTTATTCCCTGTGGTTTATTATTTCAGGAGGAACCTTTTCTCCCCAACGTTACCTCTCACAGTACCTTTAGATAACAGAATTCCTAGTATTTTCCCATGCATTTTTGAAAAATAGTGCCCAGGACTTTATTTTTGTCCTTAACCAGAGTGATGTATTTGGGTAAGAAGAGAGTACAGGTTAAAGGTATGCCTAAGTCAGTGGCATATTTGGAAGAGCAGGCTAAGACAGTTGGTTGCCAATGGGAAATTTCGGCCATAGTCTTAAAGAATAGAGTGGGTGTTTGTTACTTACACGGTAGGAACAACTTACTTTTCACCTTCCCTTTCTTGATCTTTTTTTTGAGGAGTTTGGCCGCTTTCACCTTACTAACAGCTGTGTTAGTTCTTTCTTCCCTCTGAGTTAAAATATTTCACCAGATATTGTTTTCTTTATTTTCTAATTCAGTTTGAAATAACGTGAACAGTTAACCTTTATTGTTTTTTTTCTCCATTGAATAATGGTGTGTGGGATGGTCTGAAGCCTTTTTCTTCCTCTTTTTCCCTCTTTCTCCTAACAATACCAACCGCAACTCCCAAACTGTTAGGTCATTAGTCCAGATCTCATTGAAAATTGCCCTTCCCAACTAAGAACGTCTGCACTGAAGTCTTTCCTTAATAGAGCTGTACATCATTGGTGGGAGTTATGCTTTACTGAGGAGAAGTAAGGTTCTCAATGTGAAAAGAAATGAAAAGCTACCTTTATAGAAGTGTATGTGAATGTCTTCTTTTTTTGCCTGGCTACCTGGAAACTCTTAGCTTTCCTTGAGGTTGGAAGACAGTAATTACACTAATTTTAGAGTTGGCTTATTATTTATTTACTGTGCCAGGTACAGGGCTGAATGGTTTACCTGAATTACCTTGTTTAAATCTCATAATGGCCGAGCAGAGCATTTTCTGCATTTTGCAAATGAAGAAATTGAGGCTTAGGTTACAAGATTTGTTCAAGGTCACACAGCAATTTGTTGATTTGGGTTTTAACTCAGGTCCGTGTGACAGCCAGACTCGGGCTCTTAGCCACCCTATGCTTAACCATTACGCTGGTCCCCTTGATTCTGATCTTACATTTCTGTTTTGAGTGTGAAGTTTGCTTTTTTGTCAAAACATTTTGCTTCAGAGCTTGTTGGGCAACAGACACAGAAATGTATTTAAACATATACATGGCTTTTAACCTCGTGCTTCTGTGATGTTGTACATAACAGTTGGCTTCCCCACTTGCCATTAAAACAAAATCAGTTTTTTGGCCCGTGTGACCCTAAATCTAAAGAATTCTACTTCCATGCAAAGCATCGAGTTTCATTTTGAAAATGTTTTATACTGCAATAATATGCTAGTTATACATTATAATGGACTTAATGGAATAATACTCTACAGCTGTTTCTCTAATAGCTGAACTATATAGTCATGTTTCATTCTTGTTTCTTATCTGCTTCTGTTGCAAGAATGACTCAAACTCAGTTTTGTGGTTTAATCTTGATTTTGTTTGCAGTTTTGTAAATGCCACCTGTATAATAATTCATTGCTAATGCGCGTCGTTTCAACTCTGCCCCTCTGTGCTCCTTGCAGTCTTTCTCTTTCTCTTTTGTTACTTTCACGGTTACTTATGATCCTAAATAAGAGAATAAAAGTGAACCTTATGAGGAGATTCTGAGAATTCCAGAAAAACTGAAGCAAAATAGTTCAGAGGGAAGAAAAGCTAAATTGAAGGTTGCTACCTTTGTATGCCGAAAGGACACAAGGGGTTCTCCATTGACCTGACCAAACCTTCCTTATAAGACATCGTGAACTCTTGGCCACTCAGTTGACTGTACTGGGGTTGAATATGAAGAATTAGTAACCGGTTATTGTTGTTTTGTTTTGTTTTTTTTCCTTTTGCTTTGTCACCATTGCATTCCAGTACTGCAGAGAATGCAGTTTAATAGCTCCTAGGGACTTAGCCAGGCTTCCGTGTAGCTTTTTCTTAGCTGGGAGCAGGTAATGCTCTTGCAGGGCAAGAGTAGGGTGTAACGTGTAGTTTTCACTTAAAACTTTAGCTTAAGCAATTCTCTCTTCCTCTAACACAAGTCTTGCCATATCGGTGTGCTGAGAGTTTAATGTTGAAAACGTTTTGTTCACCCAAGAAAGTGTTCTGCTTGCCTAGAATGGAGGAGGATGTTTTTATTCGTGTTTAAAGGTATGAATGATGTCAGGGATGGGTGGGTGGATATATTTGCTTCTTTGATCTTGTATGTTTATTAATTTTGTACAGTAACAAGGTTAAACTATTATAGTTTTGTGTGTTTTTAGATCATCAGTCTGAAATATCCAGATAGCATAGAATCGGAGGTGGAAGGCAGGCAGCTTGAGGATCGTCTCCTCCAGTGTTTGTGAAACTTACCAAATGATAAGAACTACTTGAGTCACTTTTTGTTTGTTTGTTTATTTATTTATTTTGAGAGAGAGAGAGAGAGCGCGCATGAGCAGGGGAGGGTCAGAGAGAGAGGGAGAAAGAGTCCCAAGCAGGTTCCGCACTGAAGCGTGGAGCCCAACGTGGGGCTCGAACTGAACCATGAGATCATGACCTGAGCCGCAACCACGAGTTGGGTACTTAACCGACTGAGCCACTCAGGCACCCCTGGATCACTTATTAAGAATAAGGTCCTAGGCCTCACTCAGAGATATCCTGAACCAAAATCTAGGGAAGGAGCCTTGGAATGCATATTGTTAACAGTTACCCTATGATTAGGTGAATTTCTAAAACGTTGGTCTAGTCAACCTTGTAAATAGGGAAAGTAAACCCTGAGAAGGAAAGAAAGTTAAGTGACTTGCTTAGGGCTACCCACCTAGCCAGTAGCATCAACATGACCAGAATCCACGTTCCTGTTTCTAGACTGGAGTGCTTCCCACTCCATCTGGCAGGCCTTCTGGTCCCAAGTTAAAGGTATTCTGGTCAGAGTTAAAGGTGGCTGCATCCTTGAAAAAACAAATATTCAGGTTTGCCATTGGTTTTTGCCCTGTGATATTGATGTCAATATTTTTTGACATCCTGGATTCAAGCCATCTTTGATAGGCAT